AAGATCCCTTGCTCCGTTCTAGAGATACCTTCAAACAAACATCCATCTAAACATTCGCATTTATAATATTAGTAAGATATAAGCTGATAATAATGATTTTTCTTGTTGAAGTGCTAAGTTATTGCTAAGCTATAAGCAACAAGATTTTGTGGAAACTTTTCTTTGTTTCTTTGTCTATATTTCTCATATTCTTCATATCTGGGACTGGTGATCAGCATGAGAGATAGTAGGATCCTTTTCTTTATACTTTTAATTATGATTTTCAGGTATACAGTGGAATGGATAGGCCGTGAAGGTCTGGAGACGGAAACCCACGGCGAATATCTCAATCATTTTATCTCGCACTTCTACAAAAACATTATCAAACTAGTTGACAGGTAATTGTAATCTATAAAGGTAAAAGTTCAGTTGTATCACCTGTTCTATGACTAAAAATGATAGTCAAAATATCATATTGAGTATTTAGCAACGCCCTACTTCAAAATGGAAATCAATGAGTCTGATTGCCAAACATTATACACAAGACAAGAACCACTAATCGTTTACCCAAATAACAATCAATGTAAGTATCTGTTACCTGATAATCTTCTTTCATAAAGTATTATTCCCAGGGCCATGCGTAAAGAAGATAGCAGCGCCCAAGGCCAGATTGTGACAGAAATCTTACAGCATCTGCATGCCTGTAACAATTCCGTCAAGGTCTTCCACGGTAGAGAAGACGACCTGCTCTTCATTGAAAATTACATGAAAAACAGCTCTGATAAACCCTTGGTGCTTTATGGCGAAGGTAAAATACTAATGGATAAATCTTACTAAGATTATAAATGCGAATGTTTAGATGGATGGATGTATGAAGGTATCTCCAGAACAGCTGAATGGATTTTGATGAAATTTGGCATACATATATAGTAGAGTTGGGAAAGCACGTAGCCAACTAATTACGTTTTTTTAATACCGCGCGGACGGAGACGCAGGCGACAGCTAGTAATCTATAACTTCACTTGTATATTGCTTTTCGAGTATGCTTCCATGGTCGTTTGGAACCAGATGTTTAAGAATGCTGTCCAATTAAACCACGATTTTTGATATGATATTTTGAAATAAGAAAAAAAATGAATGCAACCTCGGACAAAGTGCTAGTATAGCTATTCAAAGGGGGAACGCTGCCAGTATCTTCAGAACCTTGCCTAAAGGGACTCCTTTTAATAATGTATTTTAGTTAATTATTCGTTTATAATATTTTATTTAATATCATAGAGTTATATTATAGATCTTGATATCTATGTAACTTGAATATTAAGAAAAAAATACGAAAAATTGATATCCTCATTATTCAATTTGCTTTAATGTATCTCTCTTTCGTTTTTTTTTACAGGTGGTTGTGGAAAAACCAGTCTCCTAGCAAAAAGTTCGGCGATGTCCTTAGCTACATGGTTTGCTGAAGTGCGACCAACCAATGTGATTAGGTTCCTTGGAACCACTCCCGACTCGAGCGCTCTTACTCCGACATTAATATCGATCTGTCAACAGGTAATTATAATTTTAGAATCTTGAACTGATTCCAGAAGTAACATATAAGAAGATAACAGTGAGAAGTTTTACCACAGATTTCATACAACTTCGCATTACCCTTTGAGAGTATCCCGGATGACTTGGTGCCGCTAACAGCACACTTCAAGCAGATGCTGACGATGGCAACGCAACAGCAGCCATTACTGCTATTCTTGGATTCAGTAGACCAGCTGACGGGAATAGGGACAGAAAATAATAAGGTCTCTTGGCTGCCGACAAGATTACCGCCGCATTGCAAGGTAAGATCTTCGAACTAAACTTTTCAACATATGAAACATAATTTTCTTGGTATACTTATTTAAATTTGTCGCAAAACTAAGTGGTAGTAGGAGTCGTCCTAAAAGGATTTCTACCGAGGAGATTAGTGAAGTTCCCTAGAAGGACCCTATCAAGAGAATCCAAAATCAAGATGCATTATGTGTTGATGTACACATGTTTAAGAAGGGAGAGAAACATGCCAAGAACTGGAAATGGATTGCTACGCTAACAACCGATCCCTGTGGATTAGTCATGAGGTGTTATTGTTGTAGATAATCGTGACTTGCGCTTGCGAGGAAGCTAATCCAGAAGTATCAAAAGAGTACGATGTGCTGCGACGTATGATCGACTCTGAAGATAACTTCTTAGAAGTGAAAGCTCTAGGAGAAGACCTGGCGATGCAAGTTCTGAAGTAAATAACTTAACAATAGCTAAATTAAAATACAAAATTCGTACGAGACAGGTTAGCTTTGTTTGAGGTCCAGTCATTCGTAATGGAAGGATTTGGGACATATATTATGGTTTTCATATTTTCTAGCTCTTGCACAATTTTTCAAATGTATGCAAATATTTATTTTTGGCTATTTTATTAGATTATGGATGGCATCAGCAGCTAGAGATTTAACTAACTACCAATGGAGACTTGTATCAAACGCGATTGGACAATGTTCGTTGCCGATATTCGTTAAATTGGTTTTTGCTGAGGTATGGAGTACAACTTTTTATCACAATAAGATGCTTAGTAAATTTTAAAGCTTACTTATAGTTCTTTACGTGTGATTTATTGTAGGTATGCCGATGGAGGAGTTATACCAAACCTCAGGACACACATCTTGCGTCCACAGTTATGGATTCTATTATGATGCTGTTTGAAAGAATTGAGAAACAGGTATTCTTGCAATATACAAATGTATGAAATCTTGTTGCCAGTTTTTAAATTGTCTTAGCTACAGCTGTCACGTTCTGTCTACCGAAAAGTGGATGGCAGAGGTTCGTTTGGCCAAGCCAACTGGTGATCCGTGGTAGAGACGTAGGCAGAGGCCTCATCTCTACTGTAGAGTATTCTGTAGAGACGTAGGTTGTACTGCTAAAAAGAGAGAGCCAGAGAATGTTTCGTATATTATATTTTTGACTGTTTCCTTTCAGCACGGTCGTCTGTTAGTATTCCATGCGTTGGCTTACATCACAGCAGCTAGGAGTGGTCTCTCAGAGACTGAGTTAGAAGACCTAATTTCACTGGATGACAAGGTCCTTGATGATGTGTACCAATACCACTTGCCACCAGTTAGAAGAATTCCTCCGTTATTGTGGACAAGGTATAAGAAACACTTTATCTTCTTAGATTTTTCCTTATGGCCTTTCTGCACTGTTTGTACTATTCCATACATCTCTATCAGCTGTCATATCTTAATTCACTTCTTTCTTAAACATATCCTCCTTCACAAAATTTAGCAATACTTCCTTCGATCCTTCCCATTATTGACTGTCTTCTTACCAAGCCTCTATGTTAAAGAATTCGTTTTACGAACCTGTCAAATGATTTTATTTACAGAATCCGCAACGATCTTCCTAATTATTTGTCGGAAAGGGAAGCGGATGGTGTCTCTGTTATGAACTGGTATCACAGGCAGTTTAGAGACACAGCAAGAGAAAGATACTTCAAGAACATGAATATGGCCATGTACTTCCATTCTATGATTGCTGATTATTATTTAGGTGAGTTTTTTATTCATATCTTATGCTACTAGTGATTTCAACGTAAATGAATAAGCTTCGATATACTCATTATAAGTAATTAAAAATATATTAGAAGAAAAGCTTAAATGAAATATATTATCCTAGTCAAATTGAAAGGAAAATATCGAAAATCGGAATATTTATTGTTTTCTAGCGGTCGCCCGCGACTCCGTCCGCACGGAATAAAAAAAAACATAATTAGTAGCCTGTGTGTTCATCCTGACTGTTTTATATATAATACATATACCAAATTTTATCGAGATCCATTCAGCTGTTCTGGAGATACCTTAAAACAAACATCCATCCATCTAAACATTCGCATTTATAATATTAGTGAGATTAGTAAAATTTGGTCTGACTACCCTTGTTTGACCGCTAAATGAGTCACTTATCTTCTCATATGAAATCTTCCGTAAGGGGAACGATATAAAGACTCTAATTGCTTTAGCAGCACGATGCGTTTTTGTTTAGCTGTACCTCATTTGTTAATAAAAATTCTTGCAGGTATTTGGGGCGGTGGTATTCCGAAACCATTTAAGTACACAGAGATCCAGCGGCACAGGTTCAACTTGGCAGATAAAGAGGGCATCGCTGATAGAAAGGTCCCTTTACAACCGTTAGTCTTTACATCAACCGATGGGTCTTCAAAAAGATACAACTTAAGGAAGGTGATTGAGCATTGGATACTGTTGTTGAAACGAAAGTAACCATAAATCTAAATAATTTGGGAGACTTCCAAACAAAGGAATTTCAGGGTTCATCATCAGCTAACTATACGTCCCCACCGAGGGGCTCGAGGCCTACCCTTACTAAAGGGTGATTAGGTCATAGTCAACCACGCTGGCAAAGTGCGGGTTGGTTGGCTTCACACATATCTTTGAATTTCTTCTCAGATATGTGCAGGTTGCATCACGATGTTTTCCTTCACCGTAAGAACGTCGGATAAATGTAAATATGTAAATCGGAAATAGAAAAACACATTGGTACAGGGCGGGATTCGAACCCAGGACCTGTAGCTTGCAAGTCAAATGCTTGACATCTGAGCCTCCGACACTCTGGGTTCCGACGGATTTTAGGGTTATCCCAACATTTTGAGACAAGTTAAGACAAAATGCATTCGCTGTAAAGCGATTCCATAACGAACTTCAAAAATGCATGGAACTGACAATAAATTTCTATATGTCTAAATCCCCTGAAAGTCGAAACTTTGGCTCATAGAAAAAAAAATAGAAAAACAAAAGGCAAACCTATAAAAATACTTATAAACCCAACAAATTGCCAGATTTAAGATCGTTGGAAGAATAGTGTACAATTCTTAAATCAACTAACTTAATTCAACCAACAATAACAGAAATATTAATTTGCTATAATTAATTCGTGTTCCATAAACATTAGCGATAAAGTAAGAAATTCCACATTTCTGCTACAACATGCTGTATATGGGCATTATATAAAACTAGAACATACTGTATACAACTTTTTTATTAATAAAACAAGAACTTTACACTTCCTAAATGAATTAATTGAAGATATTTATCGTAAATATGTCTCAAATTATTTAACTAAGCAATTAATTAATAGCACCATTCAACCTAAACAGTCCCTTAGTAAAGACTTCTCAATCTAAATCAACACTAAGAGCATCATATTTTTACCATGAAACTATAACTGCGACAACTAAGAAATAAATCTTTACCTTTCCAGTTTGGTGAACTTCCTTTCCATCTGGTCCGATCGAAGCGCTTTACAGATCTTTACGCAGAAGTTCTATTCAACTACGAATGGTTACATGCCAAGTTAAACTGCTGTCCCCTGCAAGCTGTGCTCGCAGACTTTGAAGATGCAAAGCTTCATGTTAGCAAGGATGCTGTAAGGTAAGATGGTACAATGCTATCAAAGATTTATTACTTAAACTTGCTTAATTCAATGAACTTGTCCTTTGAAATAGATTAGTTTAGTCAACGTTTTCGAATTAGTCGTGGAATGTTTTTGAAATATTCAATAGGTAGGTCTTCTATTATCCTATAATACCCTATGCAAAGAGAATCACCCATCCCATCTTTGTTTTAACGTATCATAATCCTGACACTATATTACAGAAATAAATAAAAGTTTCTCATACTTCTACAAGTATCTTGTTTCATTAAGGCTAAACCTTGACACCACTAAAAGCAATCGGGTAATAGCATAATTAGTAACCTATATAACCCCTCTTTATACCTAATTCCAGAGAACTTATGCTAGTAGCAGACGCTCTTCGTTTGGGTGGAGCGATCCTGGGAGCATATCCTGACATGCTAGCACCACAGCTGGTGGGCCGACTGCTGCCAGAAGCTGCTAACAATCCTGCCGTGTCGTCACTTCTGCAGCAGTGTCATGATGTAGGGAAGAATCACTGCGCTTTGCTGCCATCACATCACTGTTTGCATACACCTGGGGGACCTTTGAAGGTGTGTCTTTTACTTTGACTTTTGGGAAATAAGTAAAACGGACTCGTAGACGAAAGCCATAACGCATATAACGTATTTGTTTGAAGTAACCACCGCTTTCTGTAAATTATGTATACTTTTCTTAATTGTTTTCCAGTATTCCTTAGAAGGTCACCAGTTCGCAGTATTCGCGTTTCGTCTGAGCTCCGATAAGCGGTACGTGGTGTCAATATCTAGCCGTGTTATCTCCTGGGACCTATCAACGTCAGATCTCGCTCGCGATCTGTGTCCGCAATTGGAAGGAATTTTGCAAAACTTGGAGCTCTCACCAGATAATAAATGGGCTGCTGCATCAACTAATAATTCTGTGGTGAGTTACGTAATTAAGTAGTTAGTGAAATTAAGTATAGCTTCAAAGTTATTTAATGTTTATAATGTTAAATTTTATTTGTAGTCGATGCTGTTGAACATGCTGACAAGCGAATATGTCACCATCGACAATCCTTTGGATGAAGGTAATGATGTGATGATGTAATTATTTAATATTTTAAAATTAAATTACTTAGTTTGTGATCGCAGATCTAGAGACAGACCCAAATCAAGATGGAAAGAACCAAGCCTCACACTAAGACGTCGAAGACAGATGGAAGTGGAGAGACTGATTAGGCAAGTCGAACCCACCACCTTGTGGGATACGAGCTAGACAGAGAGAGAGACAGAGAGACTCTATGGCCGAATCATTATAAAGACCTATGTCTTCATCTACTCTTTTTCTTATTCATTATCTTCTCGTTATAGGTGAAACTGTACGCGGTGTGTACGTGTTGAATCACCACATGTTTATCTATGGCCCGCGGTCCTGGGTGCAGTACAACATGCGAGGAGAGCTCGAGCAGACTGTCTCAGCTCCTGACACCGGACCATATGATGACGTCACTTGGGAAATTCTCTGTAATTATCCTCTACCTTTTTTTCATATTTAGCGTTTGATTTTGTGTTATTTAATTGCTTGCCAATTGGAAAAATTACAGAAATGGATTTCTTAAGCACTCAACTGTTGTGGACCCATTTTGGTATAGGTTTAAATTATATTAGGTTTATGTTTAGTACTGTAACTGTTCCAGCAATGGAGTTCAGAGACCTGGAGAACTTCGTACTTATAATGTGGAGCGGAGACCTGGATGACGACAGACTGCTGGTACAGTTCCAGAAGAATGGAACCTGGATGCAGCCCCTGAGGTGCAGAGGCGCGGTGACGTTCAACAAGTATTGGACGAAGATTTACAGCAGTGACCCGGAAAGAGGATATCAGGTACAATATTAAACAAAACACAAGTAACATGTTTTGTCTTTTTGTAGAGATTAAACCGCAAAATCATAATATGGGGCCCACTAGTGATGTATCGGTAAAAATTTTCATATCAACATCTTAAATCATTGAGAAAAGTTATTGGCACAAAATCGACCAGAATTTGGGATTACTTCTTACTTTATGAATGGTACAAAAGAAGTAAGTCTTTAATGTTGTAGATATCGGTGTTCGAGCTGAACGAAGAGCAGCAATGTTGGGACAAGGTGGAAGAACTTCACCACAAAGAGACCGATACTGCAGAGGCCATGCTTCAACTTAAACGAGGAAAGAAAGATAGAATGTTACTCGGTAAGAATATTTGCTTTAGTGGTAGAGACAACGTAGATTAGGTAAAATGGAACACGCTATATTTTCAACACAACTGTTTTCTTTCAAAATTTACTCTTTTGATTCTGGTTTCATTATGAAATCGCTTAGCCATCAGTTTATAACTAGTTATTTAGAAAAGTATATAAATATATTCTCCAAATTACAGCTACGACGACTTACAGTTTCGTAGTTTGGGACTTCTACAATATAATCCCAAGAGGTAATCATGTTGATGAAAGACAGAGACAAAAAAGTGATGGGAATGAGAAGAAAGAAGAGGAGGTAAGTTTTGAACTACTCCAAAATTCCTACAAACCCTCAATATACTTACTAATATAAATTAATCGTTTACCTGTCACTTTAGGAGGAAAAAACAGATGTCCTAACAGAAAAGGATCTACGTCAAGAAGGAATAGTACTAAAACTTCCTCACACCATTCGTAATATCTCAACCAAGATGACCCAGTCTAATTCTTTCATGGTCAGCAACAATAACACTTACGCTGTGGCTGGAGTCAGGTAATATTATAACATTAATTAATTATTTTTTGTAAACTCTACACCCCTCACCTTTTACCACACGTCTCCGTTTACAACTCATCATCTTTTACGACACCTGAAATCAACTTGAACTACAAATCATTGAATATTTATTTCACGTTTTTGGACACAGACAAACTGCCTAGCGGTGGTTATAATACTTAAATTGTTGATTCCAGAAAGAATCTGTACGTTTGGAGTTTGGAGACAACAAAGCTAATTAAGATCCTGGACGCCCATTTCGGGAGGATCGTGCAGCTGGAGCCGCTGACTGTGGGTGCCTGGAACAACGTCATCACCTCCTCCATTGACCGCACTGTCAAGATCTGGAATATTGATAACATCTTTGAGCAGGTCCACAAGATCGATCGACAGGAGTTACCCATTGATGCTATTAGGTTGGCCTTCTAAAATTTTTGCTCAATTTTTATAAGTGTGGAAATATTAATGATGATTAAAATTTGCACACTTGAAATAGCTCAAGAGACATGTATGTAATTTTAAATTATGAGAGATATGCTTTCACGGACGTTCTAAAATTCATGGCAGACGAGTCTTGGCAAATATGTAAGCACATTAATTTCATTAAAGCCTTTTACAAATATGTTTTAATATATAATTCCCAGGAATATAAAAAAGCAAATTCAAGACCATCCCTTCCCTTATCTTTATATATTTAAATAAATTCAAATGACGAAAGTTCTCAATTTCTAGTAAGATTTATAACTTTTGTCTATTCTTTCAGTCTAGCAAGAGACAAGCAGCTAGCAGTGACAGTGACCCGAAGTTGCTGGGGTCTTTGGGACACCAGCAGTGGCAGACTGTTGGCACAACTAGCTGACGCCCCACTCGGTGCCATCGTGACACACGCTGTCATCACACCAGTTGGTGACAACGTGGTGACAGCTGAGTCTGGGAATGTCGTGATATGGGATATTGCTGAAAAGCAGGTATTATTGAAATTTAGATGTTAAGGGTGGATGCAAAGGAGGTTATCTCTGCATAGTCTGAGCTGGCTCCTTTTGCCATACTTTTCTCTTTTTTTTATAAATCAGTGCTGTGTTTTTCTTTCTTTTATATCTGTGTAGTAAGATAATATGACGTAGAACTGTGAATACAGGATATAAGTAGCTAACTTCCAATGGTGGAGGAACTTCTAGAATAAAAGTAGCTTTTGTTTAAAATGCTGCTTAATAGTTACGAGTTTAGGGGATTAATTGGAACTGATGTATTATAGGTGATATTCAAAGAAGAACAGAAAGGCGTGAAGCAAGTACTCTTATTAGATGACGGAACTAAATTTATAACAATTTCAATGCAAGTATCCACAGATAACATTGATAATATGGCCGTGGCTGTTATCATAGCCAGGTCAATACCAGGTAAGTTTGGTTGCAAAGGTCTTGACATTATATTACCAGAAAAAAATAAACTGTTCTTAAACTTGCTATCTTTAGTTCAGATATATAGTAAAATAGATTTAGTTTTGTCTTCTTCATCAGAATATATAAAACAAGGAGATAAAACCTTCCCTGCATTAGGGATGACTAAACATTAGTCGACAACGTTGGCCTAGTCCGTTGACTAAGCACACTTTGAATATCAATGCAGATATGTCCAGACATACATTCCATCATTTTGGCTAGATATACTTATTTATAGGTCTTTTATCTTTAGATGGAGAGAGGATCTACACAACAGATTACGAAGTTAGAGGCACAGGGTACAAGGCAGCTGTGGTATCAGCAGATGAACATCATATTGTAGCTCCAGGGATAGACAAAACTTCCAGAGAATGCCTACATGTGTTCCACGCAAGGACAGGCACTAAACTTCACAGGTTAATTTTAAGATTGTCTTGTAGTGGAACACTCAGAATCACTAATTGAGCGCTAAGTTATTCCCACAGTTCCTTAATAATTCTGTTATTTACCAATTTTCCCAGGATTTCAGTAAAAAACAGTGGAATTAAAGACATGCAATCGATAGTGGCATTACCTCACAAGCCACACTGGGTAGCCGTAGTCGGCAATGATAAGGCGGGAATACTTGATATAAAAACTAAAAGACACGTCAGGTTTGTTTATTTTTAGTATACAAAATGTGGACTATACTTTTTCTAATTTTTAAATTGTGAAGTCAACCCGCACTTGGCCAGCGTGGTTGACTATGGCCTAATCACTCTTAACTTAGGGTAGGCTCAAAGCCCCTCGGTGGGGACATATAGTGAGCTGATGATGATGATGAAGTGGACTTGGGAAGAGAAGGGACGAGATGAATGAAATATCCTATTTTTGTACAGCCCATCCTCAAAGATTTTTTTAACATATTTTAGATATCAGTAATCTATTAACTTACTTGCTCGTGTAGCAGTATCTTCTCTATTTTAAAGAAATTAGGGGACCGTTTGTTGTTTGTCATCTCTGACCACAAAAAGTGAGCTTTATTATTTACTTTTTTTCTAGATTCGTACCACGTTGGAACGGCGCTTGTACTAAAGATGGTAAGATAGGATTGTGCGCGCCGTCACGCGGTGGTCTCGACCTGATCGAACTGAAGCGAGGCACATCACTACAGCAGTTAATCTCAAGAGCTGCAGAGGGCGTCTTCTCCATTATAACAATGTTCAGCTCTACTGACCAGTATGTTTTTTACTATCACAGTGGTAGGAAAACTTTGAGGGTTTTTAGGTAAGTAGACTGCAATAGACTACATAAGACTTGTGTAACTCTTTTTTGGATGAGTCGATTTCTGTACATATATTTTTAAACATTGTAGGTTATAAATTCAAAAAAATTATGGTCCAAATGTTAATCGTGGTAAAGACAGAGGTAAAGATAATTGGGACATAAATAAGAAAGTAATGAGATTGTATGTTTAATATCCAGATTATGTAAAAGATATGTGTAGATGGGAGGAAATTCTTAACAAATATCGTTGTCCTTGTTCAACAAAGTGAATGAAAGAGAGACAGGAATAACTATAGTTCCAACACAAGCACATTTAAGTAATTTCAACCAAATTGATTTTTATTTTCCAGAACTGTGGACGGCAAAGCTGTCGCGGAGTACCGAGCCCCCGCCGAGGTGACTGGCGTGGCGAGCGCAGACGGTGGCAAAGCTGTAGCTCTTGGCTCTCAAGATGGATGTCTTACTATACTTAACATTGTAGATCCTCATGAATAAGCACATGTGACTGGATGCCTAGTCCACTTTCCATTCCCAACCTTTTCTTATAAAAAAAGGATGGGAAGGGGTAGTTGATTTGATGGAGGAGAGCACGCGATCGATTGACTCCTCTGTCGATTTAAGGTAGCAACGCATTTGCAATTGCGGATGTCTACGTCATTTCGCTATTTCGGCTAGTTCAGGTGGCGGAAATGATAAAAAAAAACATATTATCTCACTATGTTACGTCTTACTAATATTATAAATGAGAATGTTTAGATGGATGGATGTTTGTTTGAAGACATCTCCGAAACCGATGCATAGATATCGTTGATATTTGGCATAGATGTAGAACATAGTCTAGAAGAACATATAGGCTACTTATTATGTTTGTTTTTAATTCCGCGTGCACAGAGCCGAGAAACAGCTAGTACGCTTTAAATTAAAAGAACTATAGAACTTCATTGCTGTGACTCTTTCCCTTTCAATTTCTTTGACGAAATAGAGACAGCGATATTTTCGATCTGACGTCAGTTTTCTATAGTTAATAAAATAGATGAAGTAATTTGTAGTAAATTGCACTTCTGATTTGTTAAGTCTTTGATTAAATATGTATAGGAATTAAGGAAGCTAGATAAGTTCTAAATAAACTTATATAAAAACGACTAAAACACTCACGTATGTTCGTCCGGTGGCGGCACCGACTAGTTTGGTGCCTATCGGGCCCTTCATCAGGGAGAGTGGGACTGGTATTATTTCGCGGACGCTGCCGTCTTAGCTCACTAAGAGTGACGAACATATATTAGTATTTTAGCCGTTTTTGTATAAGTTTATTCTAATGTGTCACGAAATTTTGAATAATTTAAATCTTAATTAAAAAAGAAATTTTCCATTTCCACTGTTTGTTACAAAATCTTTTCAATTCTCTATCAAAAGAGATGAGGATATGTTTTTATTTATGTTACGGCAGTGAAAACCAACGTTTAGAATGGATAGTAATGTTTGTTATTTATTTTATTGATTACACAATAACAAACCAGTCTGTGATACATGAAAGTGATTTCAGTATGGATTTTTGAGATGTGTTTATTTTAGGAATAACGCAAAAATATTATATTTCGTATAGCAAATTAAAGTACAAAATGTATTAATTACAAATCTATTAATGTATGTAGTTTGTCTTAAAATTAAATAAATAATAACTGAATTTGTTCTTTTTTTCAATCTACTTCGTGTATAAATTGTACACGACTTTTCTGTCTTCAGATTTTAAAAGAGCAAATGTTTTAAACAGACAGTATGTTCGTCCGGTGGCGGCACCGACTAGTTTCGAGCCCACCGGGGGAGCTACATCTTGAGTGAGCGACCAGTGTCACTCACCCTGATGACGGGCCCTCGATGAGCTCGTAACTAGTCGGTGCCGCCACCGGATGAATATACGTGAGTGTTTAGCCGATATAAGCTTATAATAATGTCTCACGAAATGTTGAATAAAGAGCCAATTTTTTATTAATTACATATTGAGGTCAATAAAAATAAAAAAAATTTAAAAATCAGTTTTATATTTTCAAAAAAAAAACAATGTTACCAAAAAAGGATCATAAAAATATACTCAAGCATAAAAATGTTTACACGCAAAATATATTAAAAAAATTACATGTTTTCAATAGAAAACAAAGACTACACGGACAGCTTTAAACATTCGGCAGTTGCATTGTCTGCCATACACCGTACATACGTACGTACGTGTATTTCGCTAAAACGAGCCGTTCAAAGCTGCTCGTGTATGGCGTCCTTATCGATGTATTTCTTATAACAAGTCACTTAGTACTTTAATACTTTTATTTAATAATGTACCTTAAGCTAATACATTTAGAACTCATATTCCGATACATATATGTACAGTTTTGCAACAGCTATACCAGCGAATTGCCCTCTATTGTAAAGTTCCATAGACAATTCTAGTTCAATACTCTGTGGTCCTTCTAGAGATTTAACCAGAGTTATGACGCCTTGGTTATTACCTCTTTGCAGAAGCCTGTAAAAAACGTTTTAATAGTCGTAAAAATTTGAAACTGTTGGCTCTTAGACTATAATTGTCACAAAATTACGAGATCTCACAATTAGAATATATCGTTCTCTTTCCTTCCTATAAAATATGTATCTTCCTTCTCTCTCATGTAACGGTAAATCAATGACCTTGAAACTTTCAACTCTCGTGTAAAATTAAATATTATTAAACTTACATAAAAGAATTTATATCAGCTCGTTCTTTGACAGTCGGAGGAGCATTCACTTCGACCAGTTTGAGTTCAAACCTCATCCTAGCAGTCGGCCAGACGGGTCCTTTCATTGTGAATAAATCCACCTGATAACAAAAGCCACATTAAAAGTGTTAACTGAAATATTTAAATTCTTAACAGTGGTAGAGCTCGCTCTACTATCTTTGCACGAATTGGGCGGTTTGCCCGCTGCGAAGACCTCACATATGTCAAACTTTAAGTGGAAGTAATTCCGCGTACGCTCGCTGATCAGTTTGTGTGCCGGAGGACTTATTTCACTCCTTCTTTCCCTTCCCACACTTTTCATAAGAAAACAATGGAAGGGATAAGTAAATTTGATGGATGGATGGACGCCTCCGTCGATTGAAGGAAGGCAACGCATCTGCAATTCTGGATGTCTGTAGACAACGGTCACTTCGCCCTTTCGGTCGAATTTCGTTTAAAATAACAAACATAGTATGGATAGTTAGTTAATAATAAATAATACTTACACTTGGATCAGGAATGTAGAGTTTAGAGACGAACGTGATAAAGTTATACGAGTAAGTTGACGGTTGGTGCGTGCAGTTGCGGTCAGAGGGTGCGCATGTCGCATCAATCTTAGTGCAGCGACTGTAAAATATTTAACATCTCATATAATACGTAAGAATTAAAAAAGACAAGTGTTTTAGTGTACATAATTGCAACTAAAATATCTATAGATCCCAGAGTGGCTTCATCGTGACGATTGATGACCGGATGAGAAGACTCGATGGCGATCTTTTGGGGGGGTTCGGGTTTCCCCGCGGGATGGTAAATCTAACTGCGTTTTTGGGTCACAACGCATCGCTTCTTTCAATTTCCTTCCTCCGTCACTCTCTCCCCATACATGAAATAGTCGATAGTTTAATTACACCTTTCAAAGCAACTAGCCCTGAAATTCTGATTACAGGTGACTACTATTTCATCATGTAAAAGTTGATAGGAATATAAAGGAATAGAACTTACTGTCGACTTTCAATCTTGTACCCCGGCGGACAGATAATGCGGTGGCAGTGGTAACCACCGCGCATGTTAACGCAGATGTCACTAGTGACGGCATATGGACTACTCCTTGCACACGGCGCCTCTCCAGTCTCACACTCGTCAATATCTGAAAATATAAATTACCTATACACATTGACCTTTATAAAAGGTCTGGCTAAAAGACGTAGTCTTTTGTGCCTATTTGATTTTTGTTACTTTGGCGCTGATGGTAGCGGTTTGTAGCGTAACATCAACAAGGGGGTAAGACAAATTGCAGTCGCTACAAAGCGATTCCATAACGAACTTCAAATATGTATAGAACTGGCAATAACTTTCGATAAGTCACGTGATTGTCGCGCCTCAGTTCCATACAATTTTGAAGTTCGTTATAGAATCGCTTTGGAGCGAATGCACTTTGTCTAACCCCCCAGTGGCTATACAATACTGTATTCATTTAAATCATGTGAAAGATTTTTAGCTAGAAACATTGTCGTTAGAAGTAAGTTATTCTGCCAAAATCTTTTATTGGAGACTTTGCATAAAACGATCAACATAGTCCACAAAATGAATTCCAATGAAAGAACTTATTCATTCTCAAATGATGACACTTATGTCATCAAAAGAATTGTCAAACACTTGAATATGTTCACAATTGTCTTCTATCAGAAATAACGGTCTAGAAATATTAAGAATCACGTTATGATCTTACCGATACAACTCCTCTTATCCTCGGATAATCTGTAACCTTTTGGACAGGAACAACGATAGGATCCCGGCTCGTTCAGACATTTCCCATCACACAGATGTCTAGACTTGAATTCTACACATTCATCTACATCGGTACATGAACTGAAATAACATTGTTAGTTAAAACACAAGAAAACCTGATTAATTTATACATAATGTTACAAAGAGGAAGAATAATAGTGGTAGAGCCCGCTTTAACATCTTCGCACGAATTGGCCCGCCCGGTGAAATACCACGACCACACAGAAGACAGGCGTGAAGTGGAAGCAATTCCGCGTTTCGAAGTATGAGAAGTGGAAGTGGACTTTCCGGATGAGAGGATGCATGGAAATGTTTTCTTTCTGTGCATCCTCTCCTCCGTCGATTAAAGGTAGGCAAAGCATATGCAATAGCGTATGTCTATGGGCAACGGTCACTTCGCTATTTCAGCGATTTCAGGTGGCCGCTTGCTCGTTTGCTACCTTATGATATAAAAAAAGAATACGAATCGAATGATACCACACGCATCAAAATTAGTTCATTCGTTCAGGCGCCAGGAGGTCACCTTCAAACTTTAATACTCTAGCATCCAACAAAAATACAATCGCAAGAAGGTCCTGAAATAAACATAAAAAAGAACGGGCCAAGTACATACGAATCAACGTAAGAACATAACTTCAGCAGTAGTCTATTTTATTATAATAAAAGTAAGTTGTGCTGCAGTCCTGGTACCTGTTGTCGTGGCTAAGCCGGTACCCGCGGTGGCAGGAGCAGCGGTAACCACCCCACACGTTATTGCAGCGCTGCTGGCATAGTGACCCCGCTCTGTTCTCCACACACTCATCCACGTCTATGCACACCTGGTACAAGAGAGATTTAAAGACGTTGTAGACGACCGTGTCTACAGCAAATTGTGATCCAGGTAAGCGCTATTGAATGCTTGAAACAGTCTTTATATTAGCTCTTACACTATAAATTGGACTAAATAATATTTTTTACGTGTTGGGAATTTGCATTGTCACTTGTGATCCCGAGGGCTTATACCATACCTACATACCTTATCATTCCGAGGAGCGGCCCTGAACCCTGGATGGCAACGACATTGATATGATCCTAATGTGTTGATACAGTCAGCGTTTTGGGAGCAGACAGGCTGGAAACGAAGATGGTATGGTTGAGAAGGAAATATTTAAGATATGGCCCAGAATTACGTGATCATAACAAGTGAGTCAATAAACATCAATGTGAAAACAAGAAGAAACCAAATGTAACATGAAAACAAGAATGAAGGCAACCAACATATACGAGTATTTTACTTATATTATAAAAGCGAATGTCTCGAACGGATCAATGAATCTTGATGAAATTTGGCACAGATAAAAAACAGTCTAGAAGAACACATAGGTTATCATTAAGTTTTTTTTAATTCGCTAGTCTGCAAATAAATATAAAGTTATGTGTGAAGTCAAGCAACTGTGGGCCATCGTTAACTAAGACGTGGTGACCCATAACAAAGCATAGGCTCAAGTTCTTCAGGAACCTGTAAAGCTGACGAAAAAATACTTACAATACTCCCTGCGATTGCACATTCGTCAACATCTTCACATTCGTGGTCACCGACCAGGGTATACCCTGTTGGACAGCTGCAAGTGTACCCGCCAGGTAAATTTGTACACAGTTGCATAAATCCACACTTCGCTTCACCAGTTAAACATTCGTCTACATCTAGAAATATACATAATTTTATTATTCTGGACAATCAACTGCAATAAGTCAACCAACCCGTACTTGGCCAGCGTGGTTGACTATGGCCTAGTCACCCGTAACTTAGGGTAGGCTCCGAGCCCCATAGTGGGAACGTATAGTGATCTGATGATATAATTAACTGCCATAATTATCACATCCCTTTTATATTCTTTGAAAAGACAAACAATATATATCAGTACTGTATCTCCTCAGTCTAAACCCAGTCATAAGACTGACGAGAAGAAGTTTTTATAAATATATTTGGACCATAGGAATTGATATCGACATTTAATATTGTAATGCTTATATTTCTTAGAAGGTATCTGCAGATTGGCTGAACGGATCTCGCTCAAAGTTGGCATAGATGTAGAACATAATCTGGAAGAACATGTAAGCTGCTAAGTTGTTTTTAATTTCGTGCGGATGATATAAGATATAAGAAATCTTACTAATATTATAAATGCGAATGTTTAGATGGATGTTTCAATGTCTAGAACACATAGGCTACTAATTAAGTTTTTTTAATACCGCGCGGAGAGTCGCTGGCGACAGTTAGTATGTAAATAAAATAAAGAATTATTACCATGACATAAATTATCATCTCCAACTTCGTATCCTGCGGGGCACTTATTTACCCTGTCCTCTACAGTCACTTCAGGTTTAGATGGTCGGACTGTTGTACCATAATGTATAGGACCAACTGCATTATATGCTACAAACAAACAAAATACAGTTAGCGTCTCTCTCTCATTCTCTCTCGCTCTTTCTGTGTCTCTCTATCTCTAGGTGCCATTTAATGTAAGTTGGCCGTCAGCTCTTTAACTTTTGCTATATTATGTCAAGCCAAATAAATACAGGTTGGATGAAATGGCGACAGGTCACCGGTGTGATCTGTGATCCAAGAATGCCAATGAAACTTAAGTGACAGATCTACAAGCCGTAAGACCTGTCGTATTATACGAATCTTAATTTTGGACCACCAAGGTTTTGGATGAAAGAAGATTGCATGTAGCTGAAATGCGTATGCTAAGATGGATGTGTGGTGTGACAAGAAAGGATAAAGTTAAGAATGTGTATATTAGAGGAAGTTTCAAAGTAGCGCCAGTGGTCGAGAAATTGAGGGGTAAATGGTTGGTTTGGTCATGTTATGCGGAGGGATGATGATGATATAAGCAAAAAAGTAATGAGATTGAATGTGGATAACTACAAAGGTAGAGGAAGAATAGAATTTTCGTTAATTTACTAAAAATTTCTTGTACCATTTCAACTGAGCTCTAACTTGTACTAGGATATGGTATACGACAATAGTCTAATGTCAGGATTCGAACCCTGGACCACGTGATCGGAAATCCGTACCCTTAATCATGAGGCTATTGACGCTTCGACTTCGAAATAAAATTTGTTGTCGTGTTTTGAATAAGACTTTAGTGAGTACTTACTGGGTTCGTTACCATATCCTTGAGGAAAATGTTGGTTATTTCTGATGGGGATACAACGTTGTCTTCTACTATCCAGTTCCCAGTTTGGTGGGCACTCACAACGGTAACCTCCTTCTGTGTTAACACATATCTCTACCGTTGCACAGTTCGCTTGTCCGTTTGTACATTCGTTTATATCTGTATCAAAAAATATAACAATTCATTATCTTCTTATACTCTAGAGGGCGCACCAGATTTTGTTCTAGATCGATTTATCGTCATTTAGTTTTAGTACTTAGTATTTCCTTTACCAATCATATCACTTTTTATTCATCTGTTTTTTAGGCCTGTTTTAAATTTGGAATCCTTTTGAACTAGTTTAGAATGGCTATTGATTCATGTTTCGGGTGTTATATTATGCTTTTATAATACCTCCTTTTAACTTTTAAACTCTTAAGTAGAAACTTTATTTAACATTTTATTTTTTATTTTGAATAAACAAATTACTTGCCTTCACATGTCCCAGTGCTTGTGTTAAAATGATATCCCATTTCACAGATGTTTCTCGGTTTAAATGGCCTCGTTGTGAATGGTCGGATCGGGTAGCCCCAGAAAACTTCTATGAAAAAGTAAACGTAACCAGTTTAAAATCAAGAAAAATATTTCGATAGCAAATATTAAAACTTGTGAGAAGTAATAATACTGTTCTCCAGACACATAAACGTTAGTGACTTACTTCGTTCAGTTGTAGGAGGAGGTGTAGGAGGAGTAGTTGGCAATGGTGAGGAAGGTATTGGCGGGGGTGTTATTGGGACTGTTGGGGGAGGCGTTGGCGGGGGAGTTGTTACTGTTGAAGGAATCGTTGGCGGAGGAGTTGTTGTTGGGGAAGGTGTTGACGACAAAGTTGTTGGCAAAGTAGGAGAAGGTGTCGGTGGTAAAGTTGAGGGAGGTGTTGGCGGTAATGTTGGAGGTGGCATTGGCGGTAACGTAGGTGGCGGTGGAGGAGGAGGAGGTGGAATCGGGGTAGTAGTTGTTGACGTCGTAGGTGTAGATGCCGCCGTTGAGGTAGGCCAAGTAATAAATACGCAGGTCTTCGAAGCAAAATCCCTTCGGAACCCGGCAGCGCAATCGCATAGGTACCCTCCCATGGTATTCCGACAAATTTCCGTTAGACCCGAGCAGATGTGACGATTTGTGGCACATTCATCAATATCTATAGAAAACATAACAACAATCACTCGGATTTTTGACTTTAGAAAATTTGTAAATCACATTAGTTACTAAATATTCTTACCATAACAAGCACCATACTCGTCTCTTTCGAAGCCAAATTGGCAATCGATTGGCTTAGCATTTATTTTGGTCCATTCGTTAGTTGGAACCTCATTGGTGTCAACAATTACTGATCCATCTGGAGTTTGTTCACCTCTTACTGTCGCTGTTTCTTTGCCTACTTCAACAAACACAACTTGAGGAGATGTAGGTTGTGTAGCTTTTGTTATGGTTTCATATGTATCTATTTCGTTATCTTTTGGATCTAATGGTTTACTATGTGGCAATTCAGCTGGTAATTTATTTACTGGATCTAAATCATATTTAGGTCCAGGTTGTTCTGTACTTTCTGTTCGTTTTGGTCCTGCTGGTCTTTCATCGATTGGAATGTAAGAAATTTCATCTTCACCATCTGTGGACTTAGGTTCAGAAGGCACTGGGGTGAATTCAGCTTTTCTTGGATGTTCCGTTGTCGTGTATTCAATTCTGTATATTGATTCACTTGATGTTGGCACAGACTCTTTTGTGATCTCAGGTTGTGATGGCTCTGGATTAGGTACATTTTTGTCATTGTCTATGGTATAAATATTATTATTCAGATCTTCGTCTTGTGTATGATCAATTGGAATTTCTGCAGGTTTATCTATGTCAATATCTGGATGTAATGTAGTCTTTATTTCAGGAGGTTTAGAAGTTGTTGTTTCCTTAGGAGATTCGCTAGTTGTTGAACTAGATTTAGTTGATGTTTGGTCTAGTTTAGGTTGATTGTCAGGACTGGGGTTTGAATTGTTTTTGTTATCGTCTACAATTTCCTCTCTGAAACATTTCAAATAATATAGAAATTGAACGCAAATATTAAATTGAAAACGACTATGATAATTAACTAATATTTAGGTTTTAGACTTTTTATGTCTTTCATAATATCTGACTATTATTTAATACATAACTTGCTTTAGCTTTAGCTTTTTAGCTAGTTTTAGATATTATTTCGTTACAAAGTCAAGTGTCAAAAAGATTAGTGATGGGACATAAACGTCGACATTTTAGTAAGGCTAGTTTTGCGCCAGTACACCGGCACAGTGTCGGATTTAATTCCTATCAGCTAGTACAGCTAGTAAGTAGCTAGCTACGTGCAAAATTTAAAATTATTTTTAACGCATGTTAGGAAAAAGGTGCCTATGTCAATCTCTGTCTCTTAAATAAAGATACTTTTATTCTCTGATAATTTTACTTACTCAGAATCATAGTACTCATAGTCGTATTCAGGTGCAGCTGTCGACGTTGTAGTGGTAGCCCTTCGTACGCAGCGGAAGGAGCCTGGGATGTTGTGGCAGCGGTACTCAGGGCCAGCGCGGCCGCAATTGTGAGTACCCAGAGCACACTCGTCAATATCTAGAACAGATAAATTATTTACATTTTGGTATACTGGTCTTTTGGTACCAAAAACTGTATCTATTTATAATATTTTTGTTTTAATTATGGCTGAGTAACCTATCTGTAAGGAGGTTGATGAAATTATCTTTCTAAGCTTGTCATCATTATTGTTAAAAGCTTCGTTTATGTGTTCTTGTCGTCTACCAGGAATATTCTTCTATTTTAATTCTGTAGATGGATACCACCAATGGGTGGTATTAAGTCAAGCATGAAGTTTTGGTTCGGTTGAAGCCTTATTCTAACTTTCTGAGATTCATTATGTTCTTGCCCTTTTCCTTATGGAGTGTCGGCACGGTATGTATTAATCTTCCATACATTTCTATCAGTCATATCTATAAATATCACGATCCATACATACTTTCTTCAGTCTTCATCTACCTTTGCATCCGTATCACATGTTGTGATTCATAACTATTTCATCATCAGCTCACTATACGTCCCCACTAAGAGACTGGGAGCCTACCCTATGATAGGAGTGATTAGGTCACAGTCAACCACGCTGGCCCAATGCGGGTTGACTTCACACATATTTTTCAATTTCTTCTCAAATACTTACGATGTTTGCCTTTACCGTAAGAAAATCGGATAAATGTACATAATTGGAAACGTGTTTTTACACGTTGGTACATCGCGGGATTCGAACCTAGGATTGAGATTGCAAGTCAAGTACTTAACCACTGAGCCACCGACGCTCTGTACCTAAGAACAGATATAATTACGTGTCTATATACCTAGTGATTTTTGGGGATGGCCTATGCCCAGCAGTGGGACTCTCTTGGTTGAACAATAAAGCTAGTATTGATACCTACCTTCACATTTGCTGGACGAATGATGCAAGATATACCCGGTGCCACAAGATATGAACCTCACGCAGAGATAAGAGCCAACAGTATTATCACAGCGCTGTGATTGAGCGATGCAGTCATTTTGTTCGGTGGCACATTCATTTATATCTGGAATAATATAAATTTTATAAAGGTTTAATAACAGAGATTTAACTATAAGCCTAATTCAGTCCTCTTTCCCTTCCCACCCTTTTTCTTATAAGGAAAGGATGGGAAGTGGAAGTGGACTTTCCGGATGAGAGGATGCACAGAAAGAAAATATTTTCCTTCAGTGCATCCTCCCCTGCGTCGATTAGAGGTAGACAACGCATATGCAATTGCGTATGTCCATGCGCAACGGTCACTTCGCTATTTCAGCGATTTCAGGTGGCCGCTCGCTCGTTTGCCACCTTGTGATATAAAAAAAAGAATCCTTTGGCGAATGACGTGCTTTCGTTATAACGTCAAGTGTCAGAATGATTAGTGAGGGGACATAAACGTCGACATTTTAATAAGGTTAGTGTTGCGCCTATAAACCGGTCCAATGTCGGATTTTCTTCCTAGATTTTACCCACGACTTCTTAGCGTGAAATTACAAAAGTATTAATTACTAGCTTATGTGTTCCTCCAGACTATGCTCTAAATCGTTGCCTTTTAGCAAGGTTAAGCCGTTCTGGAGATATTTTCTAACAAACATCCAGACAAGCAAACAATCGTATTAATAATATTAGTAAGATTGATTAATTATTAATTATACAAAGGTTTTTTGACAAAATAAATCTTACTTATATTATAAATATGATGGTTTGGTTGTATGGATGTTTATTAGAAGGTATCTCCAAAACGGCTCAATGGATCTTGATGTAATTTAGCATACATATAGAACATAGTCTGGAAAAACACATAGGCTACTTACTTAGTTTTTTTTTTAATTCCGCGCAAATGAAATCGCATGCAAAAGCTAATTACAAATAAATTAAGAATTTACACAAAAGCTAGCCATATTAATAATTCCTCCAACATTGTTCTTGTTGTTCCTTATGGGCTAAACAAAGTGCATTCGCGTCGAAGCAATTCCATAACGAATTTCAAACATGTATGGAACTGTCGCGCGACAATCACGTGTTCGTTATGGAATCGTTTCAGAGCGAATGCTCTTTGTCTAGCTCTACTTGTACTTACCTACACAAGCGCCTGTTGTTGTGTCAAGTTCGAAACCAACATTGCAATGACATTCATGACTCCCGAATGTATTGTGACAGGTTTGGTACTGATCACATATGTGAATGCCTTCCGCACATTCGTCAATATCTGAAAAAGTTAAAACTTATTTAGCCAAAAATCTCTGTCTTTGAAAACCTTACAAGATTGAGTGTTTTAATTTAAACCATAGACGAGGCCATCTTACTTATATTATAAATTAGGTTCTCGGTCCGCATGGAATTAAGAAAAAACTTAATAAGTAGTCTATGTGTTCTTCCAGACTATGTTCTATATGTGTGCCAAATTTAATGAAAACCCATTGAGCAGTTTCGGAGATACTGTCAAACATCTATCCATCTAAACATTCGCATTTATAATATTAGTAAGATAAGATGCGAATGTTTAGACGGATGGATGTTTGTAGAAGGTAGCTTCAGAACGACTTAATGAATTTCTTTGATATTTGGCATAGATGTAGAACATACTCTGGAAAACACATATGCTACTAAGTTTTTAATGCCGTGCAGACTGAGTTGCGGGCGACAGTTAGTTTGTTTATAAGTTTAAAAGTCTTGCTTCTCAAATTGTACGAAAGGCTTATAAATGTTTAAGTTTGTTTAACCATGAGTTTCCGAAATTATATTCCCCTTTAAAACATGTTATCTCAAACATGACAAAAAATAACAGGGATGAAGTTTTAACGGGGACAATGGTCTTAGAAACCCACGGTAAGAAAATTTCTTTAACTTACAGCTATCGTATTGAACAGTTAGGATTCTATTATTGTTTAAATTAAGTGTATTAAGTAATAATTGTTTAATTTACCTACACAACCATGGAACTCGGCGCTGTAACGTAAACCATCGGCGCATTTCTGTTTTACCCCGTTACTGAAAATTCAATATAATTTTTTATTAAACTTTCGCAAAAAGGACATTATAAACACATCGGGGCTAGACATAGTGCATTCACAAAGATATTCCATAGCGAATTTCCAACATGTATGGAGCTGAGGCGCGCGAGTTCTATACATTTTTGAAGTTCGTTATGGAATCGCTTTGCTAATGCACTTTGCCAAAATGGCGATAATCGAATAGGAACAAAATACGCAGTCGTATGACCAGTCCATTTAGATGTGAGTGATTATAACGCATCACTTTTAATAGTATTTTAATTACATAAATATGAATATTCATCATCAGCTCCCTATACGTCCCCACTGAGGGGCTCGGAGCCTACCCTAAGTTAAGGGCGATTAGGCCATAGTCAATGCTGGCCAAGTGCGGGTTGACTTCACTAATATCTTTGAATTTCTTCTCAGATATGTGCAGCATCACGATGTTTTCCTTCACCGTAAGAATGTCGGATAAATATACAAATGTAAATCGGAAATCGAAAAACACATTGGTACATGGCGGGATTCGAACCCAGGACCTGCAGATTGCAAGTCAAGTGCTTGACCCCTGAGGCACACATTTCCGACCACGAGGTCGGAGGTTCGAATCCCGCTATTCCATTATATAAATCATATACCAGCTAGCATAGAGCTTAGTTTTAGTACAAGAAATATTAGTAAATTTACATAAATCTGGTAATATTTAAAAAGTTTTTTTTTAATTTACAATTACGAAACATTGTCACGAAATCTTACCTGGATATTTCAGGTACAGATTTACAATTATATTCACCAGGCAAATTAATACAAACTTGATTAGGTTTACAAATATCTTCCTCTTCTTCGCACTCGTTAATATCTAGAAAAAAAAATTACAAATAGACTTTTTAAAAATAAAACTTCAAATGACATACAAAGTTAATTTCGTTACATGAGAGAGATGAAATATAAACTGATATATAAACACGGCTAAACACTCACGTATATTCGTCCGGTGGCGGCACCGACTAGTTTCAAGCCCATCGGCGGCCCTTCATCAGGATGAGTGGGACTGGTATTATTTCGCGGACGCGGCCCGTCGCTCACTGAGCTCTCACTCGCTCAGTCGGTGTCGCCACCGGACGTATATACGTGAGTGTTTAGCAGTGTTTATATATCAGTTTAGTATTATATAATGTCTCACGAAAGTTTGAATAATTTAAGATGAAATATACTATATTTTAAAGGACAGAAAGAGATGAATATATTATACGTTTTCAATATTGAATAATGACTGTCTTACTAATATTATAAATGCGAATGTTTAGATAGATGGATGTTTGCAGATATCTCCAGAACAGCTGCAAGGATCTTGCTGAAATTTGGCATACATATAGAACATAGTCTGGAAGAACACATAGACTACTAATTAAGTTTTTTTTAAATTCCGCTCGGACGGAATCGCGAGCGTCAGTCTCTGTATAAAATGTCTGTTACCTGTGTGAAAGAAAACAATATCTTTTAAACGGCAATAGTAATTTTACCTTCACACTTATTAGTGACAGGATCGTTTTTGAAACCGGGTGGGCAGTGCTTAGAAACTTTATCCTGACAGTAAAAGGAACCTTTCGTGTTTATACAGAATTGTGATATTTTATTGCAATCGTCTTTTTGAATTGCGCATTCGTCTATATCTGAAAATAAAAATAAGATTATTAAAAGGTGTCTTTAAAAAATGTGGTCATTTTGCCCTAAAATTGCTTAATATGGAACCGAACAAATGAAGGACGCGTCACGTACAGATATTTTCGTTACATGAGAGAGAAGGAAAATATAGTTTTAGGTAAGTTAGTGTGAAAGAAAGGGACGTACATATGCAATCTCAAATATCAAATATTATAAACGCGAAAGTTTAGATGGATTTATGAATGTTTATTTGAAGGTATCTCCGGAACGGTTCAACGGATCTTTATGTAATTTGGTATAGATGTAGAATATAGTCTGGAAGATCGCATAGGCTCCTTATTAAGTATTTTCGCGCGGACGGAGTCGCAGGCGACAGCAAGAATTGGGTAAAAGAAGTTTTTGTTTTGCTATTTATTATAGTAGCTTATAATAGTTGTTCGGGTTCTGATATTTTGTTTCATATAAGTTGTGTCGCATATAAATTTTTTTTTTATTTGTGTCAATAACTTACCTTCACAATCATCAATTCCACTACTTTTAAAACCAGGCGGACACTGATCTTCTGTTGTTGAATGTTTTTTTGGCAAACTCGCTGGATCTCCTTTGATTCCTCCACATTTGTAAGCACCTACTGTGTTCTCGCATAAGTACGAAGGGCAAGGTGGTTGAGGTAACTTACATTCGTTTATATCTATAAAAAAAAGAATTTTTAGAATCTCTGCAAGTTTAGAATAGCTAATAATTTAATTCCTATACATTGCTATTTTTATTTGGTAGGCGCTTTTATTAATTAAATTATTACAAGAATAAGTTTATTAACCAGTTTTTTAGTCTGTATAACTTAGTATGACTTTACTTACCGTCACAGGCGTTGTTTAGTAAATTCCTAGAGAAGCCAGGCGGGCACTGTCCTTTCTCTACATTGTTTGTCTTCTTAAGGATGCATTTATATGAACCTTGTATATTAACGCATTGTGTGTTTGGCAGACATACAGGTGGATTCAGGAGACATTCATCTATATCTGTACGAAAAAACAAGAATTAAGAATATTTACAACAATTGTAGTATTAACTATCACGACGATCTCTTTAATATTTTTTTCTTTCGCTCCTTTGAATACTAAACCTTACTAATATTGTAAATACGAAAGTAACTCTGTCTGTCTGTCCTTTCACGCAAAAACTACTGAACCGATTTAAATGAAATTTGGTACACAGATAGTGTAGAGCCTCAGGAAGGACATAGGCTACTTTTTAACGTGAAAAATTGGTTGTAAAGGGTTGAAACGGGTGTTTAAAATATGTATAGAAGTATGGTCGTTTTTACAGTTAGAACTTTGAAACTTATTTTCTATGCTGTTAATTAGACATAAATAAAGATGACATTCAATTTTTATATAAATTTTACCCTAAAAGGTGCAAAATAACAATAGGGGATGAAAGTTTATTATTTAGTTTATAATAGTTTATATTTATGTAAGTGTATATTTTGTGAGTTATATATTAAAACTATAAATAAAAGACAATATTTGACGCGGACGAAGTCTCGGGCACAGTAGTAATATATTATAATAACTTTAATTACCTTCACACGACTTGCCATCAGCCATGAGTTGGTAACCTCGTCTGCAAGAGCAAAGCACAGAGACTCCATTGTCATTGCATTTGTGTTGACAAGGATTGTGTGGCTTGCATCTGTTCTTCTCCACCTAAAACAATCACTAAAGAAATGAAACATCAAATTAAAAATGGTAGAGCCTGCAGGTGAACGATGTGACAACGACCACACAAGACAGGCCCCAATGATAAGTTTATCCCGTTTCGTCTGATGAATGTTTTTTTTAGAGGGCAAATTATAATCCTATTTTTTTTCCCATCTTACTAATATTATAAATGCGAATTTTTGTTTGTAGGTATCTACAGAACGGCTACACAGATCTCACTGAAATTTAGCATAGGTTTAGAACATAGTTTAGTAGAACACATAGGCTATTAATCAAGTTTTTTAAAGCCACGCGGATGGAGTCACGGTCGACAGCTAGTCCTTTTATAAAAATAATAGTATGGGAACTGTAAAGACTTGACAAATTTAAGGCTGTAAATTCTGTTCGGATTTTTAAAATATAGCGAACAGTTGATGCAACTTACCTCCATACAATTTTTTTTATCAGCCATCAACCTAAAACCGGGATTACATTCACATTTGTATGACCCCGGTATTGGTATGCAGTGGTGAGCGCAAAGCTCATTTGGCGCGAAATCATCACAAACTGATGTCAGCTCTGAAACAATGTTTAATCTTTGACTATTATTATCTTTATTAAGGCTCGACATAGATTTCCGAGTCTATATTAACTTTCGCTATACACAGGCAGCAATCTAATATTATAAATGCGAATGTTCAGATGTACGGATCTTTATGAGAAGGTATCTCTAGAACGGCTGAACGGATCTTGATGAAATTTGGCATAGATGTAGAACATATTCTAATAGAACACATAGGGTAAAAATAAAGTTTGTTTTTAATTCGGCGCGCGAGAAGTTGCGGGCGATAGATAGTTACAATAAATACCGCAGATGTTCAAGACATCTGCAATTCTAGTGTAATTGTGAGTTTCTAAGACTAAAATCCCCGTATAAAAAACATCATTGTCTCTGTTTTTGTCAAATATAATGACAGGGATGACGATATGTTTTACACAAAGATTTTGGTCTTAGAAATCAATAATAAAATAGTCTTACCGTCTTCTAAAGGTTTTCTCGTAACAATAGCGTCACCAGGTCGACGTGTTACAGTATCCGTTTTGACCGATTTACTTGCTGATTTCTGTAAGAAATTAATATCATATTATAAATGAAATGAAGAGCGTCGGTGGCTCAGAGGTAAAGCACTTGACTAGCAATCTGCAGGTCCTGGGTTCGAATCCCGCCATGTGCCAATGTGTTTTTCAATTACCGATTTACATATGTATATTTATCAAACGTTCTTACGGTGAAGGAAAACATTGTGATTGTGCACATATCTGAGAAGGAATCCAAAGATATGTGTGAAGTCAACCCGCACTTTGCCAGCGTGGTTGACTATGGCCTCATCACCCTTAACTTAGGGTGAACTCCGAGCCCCTCGATGGGGACGTATAGTGAGGTGATGATGATGATGACAATTGTTGTTAATCCAGTGTAGAATTATTTTAGTTCCAATACATCCTTGCTCTACGTCTTTGGTTTATGCAGTATTTTTAAACAATAATATATCTAGCAGTAGTTACTACCTCCTGCTTCCTGCTTGCTTACCTGACAGCATGTATTGAAAGCGTTTCCTGCCAGCAGCTGGTCGCCGCTCAATCCTCGCGTGTCCGTAACACATGCGCTGCCGCCGCGAGATACACCAACCGCTGAACCCTTGAGACACTCGTCGCAACATCTCTGTAAAAAATCACATTACTGATGAATACCAGGGATAATTCTGTATCTATATTATTGGAAGTTCAAGGTCATACGCGTTACGCATGCCCCCCCCCTCAAGTTTTACACGAATTATGTTCTGCGCAGTGACTCGTTTACTGTTCAAACCCGTCAAGCTATTTTTTATCTGCTATATTTTTTTAAGAAAACTAGGCATACGAGCAGCAAATCGCCGCAACCGACGCATATGCGCAACACCAACCGTTAGTTCCTGAGACTACATCCTTGTTTCTTATCCATTATCTTTGACAAAATAATGATAACAATATGTTTTATACATTTTTATATAGTCAAGAATATTAATTTGCTACCCACTTAAGACAAATCTCCTACTAAGCGAACCTTTCTAGTATTGTTAGGAAGAAAATTCGACTCTATACCGGTGTATCGGTGCAACACAAGCCTTACTAAAATATCGATATTTATGTCACGTCTCTAATCAATCTGACACTTGACTTACTAACGAAAACGCGCCAAAGGATTCTAACTATTATTGTCTAAAAGTAGAAAAAAATGCTACTTAAATCTAGCTTATATGTATTTTTATGAAAATTTCTAGTTACTAATATATTTAAATTGCCCTTTGTAGTGCATAAACGTAGTGTTGTTTGTCTCGAGCGTACACGCCATAAGTACAAGCCGGAGAGAGGGGACGTTAGTCGATGTCAGACCTTTGGACCGGCAACACGTGTCGGTACGTAAACGAGCCAAATATAACGCAACGAATGCTACACCCTTATACTGAGAAAATAAGGAAGCGAACACACTAATATAAAACAATGCAAACATTACTCGCTCATTTTAACAAGCCGTTATCTGTGCCTTATCAGTGCAAGTGATAAAAGATCCCTAATTACCTACTTTAACAATGTTTGCTTAGGTGATACTATGTTTATTTAAGTTAACACTACACTTAAAGCTATAAACTCAAAGACTACAACTGTCATTTGACCCTTTGAATGCAGAATTATGTATAAGAACACAAACTCTTTGGTAGCAAAAAGTTTTTGTTCATTAAAGATGTGGCATACTCGCCACTAAGACCTTTGACTTTTAAGATGAAAAAATAGAAAAGAATTACGCGGGAAATCAACGAGTGAACGAGATGTAGGATTAAGGTTTGATAGAGAATGTAAATCTTATTAATATTATAAATGCTTGGATGGATGGATGTTTGAAGGTCTCTAGAACGGCTCAACAGATTGATGAAATTGGCATAGATGTAGAGCATAGTCTAGAAGAACATACCGGCTACTAATCAAGTTTATTTTTAGGTCCGCGCGGACGGAGTCGTGGGCGACAGCTTGTATGTATATAGTTTTAACAACGAAATAAAGACAGTTTGCCGTACTGATATTTTCATTTTATCCACCTCACTCTTGTCCTCTGAACAGAGACAACAATGCATGACAATACAAATGTCACTGCATTTTTTAATGATATTAGAAAGAGGAAAGAGAATAAATTTTAATCAAACCGTATCAAACATAGAATAAATCATCGTATAGCAATCGCTATTGTTATAATACAAGCTTTAGATTGAAGTCAGGAAGCGCGAAATCCGCTACGTAGCATCAATGTACTTCATTCATAAAAAACTGCATTCACTAAAATAAAACAAAAAAGAACTCTCGTCGACCTCTATTTAATTAGACCGGCTATAAGTCGTGACATTCTGTGCCTATTTGATAGCCATATTGGTACTAACAGCAACGGTTAATAGTGGTGTTGGAAACTCGAAAATAATAGGTATAGGATACCGTCACTTACTTCTACTAGTGGAGGCGCTTTTACTTCATTGAACATTATTTTGAGTATTTTAACTTAGTCTTTCAAAAAAAAATAAATGTAGAGTTAAAATATCAAAATAAATGCATAAATACTTTACAAAGTTAAAATAAAACCAGTTCTTATTTCCTCTGCAATACCGTGAAACGGTTCTAAAGTTCAGATTAACTGTAATCAAATTGTACAGTCAGCTTCGTTAGCGGTATGCCAGTTATAGAGTTTCAATATTTTTGGCGGATGACCTTGAACTGCGCACTACGCAGTACCTTCCCTACGACTTTACGACCTTTCTCTACACTTTTGTGCTCTGCGTATCGACTCGTGGAATGTTCTAGAGCCGCCAAAATGTTTGAAATTGTAAGTAAAACATATTTATTTTACAATCTTACCCTCGCGGAATCCACAGTAGAGCTACAATCTCGCTTACTCGTTGCTACATCTATCCCGCTTTCACACGCCTCCTTTTTTCTAGAATTGAAAAAAAAACAAAATTAGAATAGTTTTTGTTGGCAATTTTTCAACATTGAAAACTAAATTGAAGGCTAAATCGTGTTATTTTGTTAAATTTCTAGACTTTATGGCTTTTAGAAGATGTCCTAGATCTAGTCTTATCTTAGCGCTAAGTTATAAAGATTACGGATAGATTAATTATCTTGTAAATTAATTTATAATGTTTATTCTGAAGATTACCAAGTACCGACTAATTTATTATGTTATATTCAACGGTGCCGAGATTTTAGTAAGACAGTTAATAGTTGTTGTTTCGTGGACGGATTGAACGATTTTAAAATGTTGGTAGCCGATTTAATTCCATTTCCTCACCAGAACTTTATAGGGTATATAAATCGTAGTTTTTTAAATTAACTGTGCGTTAAAAACCTTAAATTCTTAAGTAAAATACATAGAGTCTACGTAAATCGTTTCAAAGGCTTTAACTATTTTTTCATTTGATATCTTTCTTACTTAGCAATTATTTATTTGCTATAAATTGACAAAAAAAAACTTAAATAATAATCAATTTAAACTAGAAATGAAAAACGTACCATTACAAACTTAACTGACTGTACCCTTGTAGGTTTTTACAGACCGAATTAATCGTTCAATACCGGGACAGATAAATTCATCGCACTTATATCTTTGAATTATCTTTATTTATCTAAATATTTATTAACCACTTAACACTTCAACTCAACTTACTATCTATTATTTGGACCATCTGTTAGCTATCCATACTTCTCAACTTGTAATTATTTTTTCACACGAGGGTACAACGTGACAGAACAATTACTGTTAAAATAATTCTGATAATATTTCATCATCATCAGCTTACTATACGTCCCCACCGAGGGGCTCAGAGCCTACCCTAAGTTAAGGGTGATTAGGCCATATTCAACCACGCTGGCCAAGTGCGGGTTGGTTGACTTCACACATATCTTTGAATTTCTTCTCAGATATGTGCAGGTTGCATCACGATGTTTTCCTTCACCGTAAGAACGTCGGATAAATGTACATAAGTAAATCGGAAATTGAAAAAGACATTGGTACATGGCGGGATTCGAACCCAGGACCTGCAGATTGCAAGTCAAGTGCTTGACCACTGAGCCACCGACGCTCTATACCGGGCTCTATGCTGATAATAGTACTGCGTTACAACTCTATCTTCCAGTTTTACCCTCGTGTGAAATACCACTCTATAAGATAATTCGAGAAATAGATTTAAGTGTACCCATAATGATTACAGTCTTTTCACACGTAAACACGCAGACTTTATGCATTCTATGATAGTGTGAAACTTCCTTTATAATTTAACTTTAGTATCAAAAACAATTGATTTTAAATGGTATGACTAGTCGCCTGTGTCTCCTTCCGCGAGGAATTAAAAAAACATAATTAGTAGCCTATGTGTTCTTTCAGACTATGTTTTATATGTATGCCAAATTTCATCGAGATCCGTTCAGTCTTTTTTCAAACAAACATCCATACATCCATCTAAACATTCGCATTTATAATATTAGTAAGAAGTTAAATTATTTATTTGATAGTTAAATGAAATAAACAAGATTTGAAGTCACTTTTGATTTCCAGTAGACCAATTTAACTAGTAATATTATAAACTGTCATTTGATAGAGTACCATCTTATAATTACTTCCGATAAGCAACAAAACAAACTCAATTTCGTATTCCATATTTATTTATTACGCGACTCTGTCAGCGCGAAATTAAAAAACATAGGAGCCTATGTGCTCTTCGAGACTATGTTCTACATCTATGAAAAATTTCATCAAGATCCGTTCAGTCGTTCTTGAGATATCTTCAAACAAATATCCATCCATCTAAACATTCGCATTTATAATATAAGTAAGATTCCAAATTAAAATATGTATAAAGATTGTAAACAATGGTACGCAGTTAACGCGAACTATGCGTACGTTTAACGTTAAAATTTATTTTTATCATCATTAAATCCGTGTATAAAATACAGGTGTTAGCTGCGATAAAAGATGAGTCGCAGGTAAATAGGTCGATTGTTAGGAAATGGTAGCACACACCTTTTAAGACCTTATTCATAAAAAAACTTTTATGACGCAACACTTTTAAATTAGACGAGTTTTTGACAGTCAAACAAGGATATGTGAACCAATGAGAGGCGCTGCTATTGCAGTTGGTTCTGTCATATATAAAACCTATTTACACATAGGTAGTGAAAAAAAGAAGAAAAAATTGTGACAATTTTTTGACGTTGACAGTTGACAAGTGAGCTGTCATAATTTTGACTTATGCCCAACGGGTCAGATGTCTACGATATTTTAAACAATTGCCCGTCTGAGAGAAGTGGCAATATTTGTATGGATGTCCGTTCCGTTATAACATAAACTTAATGCATTTTAAAGTGTGTCATTCGAGTCGTATTCTACCAAGGACTTCTGCGAATAAATTCAAAACACGCACGAAACATTTAGTATGAAACTCTGACGCGTATTTACCATACCTAGAGTTATTTAAATGCCATTTAGATTAACCCTAAGAGTACATTAATTAAGACACGACATTAAAAAAATATTTCATCATTAAAAAGTAAAAAGAACTGGCTGTAACGTCGAAATACCAACAAACTTTTTCGTATCCCTTGTATTGACAGTTTGACAGCGCGGGAGATTGAAATACTGATTAATGATTCGAAACACAAAATACAAAATTGTTCTTTTTTTTGAAGTTTCATCGTGCCAGTTATAAAATTATTTTCCGTTAATTTTATTTTTAAAAATTCATAGATTAGTCGTTGAAAAATAACTCATTACGTATTTAACAATGATTATTTATTGTAAAAAAAATCCAATCGTATATTGTCCTGATTATGGTTTGATAGTTTTTGAGTCTAAACACGAAGCACTAAACATACAATCCCATTCCAGCCTCTAGTACAGATGGACCTCCTGGGGTCCGCGAAAGACCCGACGTACTCTGGCGGGATATTGAAAAGTTGAAGCAGAAATTTTATAAAAGAAAAAAAGTTTGGGAATCTATGGAACTCACTTGTAATGTTCTTTGCAGCACTGGTCCATAGCATAAGTACACAGAGTATTGAACATTGGGTGCACGCCTGGGGGCATTGCTGACGGACAGTCATTGCCCCTGTGAGTCCGCGCGTGCGCTGTGCCCTGCTCGCAGCACTGCTGCGTCATCTCTGCCATTTGGTCAGCAAGGGATGCTGTGAAATAAGATAAAATTAGGTAACTGAACATGCTTGACTGCATATAGCAAAGCTTTTGAATAAATATGCATAAAATTATTTTCTATCTTTTATTAGTCTACTATTTAGCGCTACAACTTTCCCTCCCTGGTCACAGATCCAGAGGCAGACCCAAAACGAGATGGAAAGATGTAGTAATAAAAGACATGAGTGAGTGCCAAGTCTCAGAAGAAGATGTCATGGACAGAGCGAAGTGTAAGAGACGGATTGGCAGCTGACCCCACCACCTTGTGGGATGCAAGCTAGACAGAGGCCTAGGTGGTGGAGAGAGAGAGTCTAACTGTCGCCCGCAACTCCGTCCGCGCGGAATTAAAACGAAATTAGTAGCCTATGTGTTCTACCAAACTATGTTCTACATCTATGCCAAATTTCAGCGAGATCCATGCAGCTATGGATATACCTTCTAACAAACATACATATATCCAAACATTCGCATTTATATTAGTAAGAAATAAGATTTGTACGTTATTTTAAATTCGTCCAAATGATATCGGATTTTGTGGCTAATTGAACAATTTAATATGTAGCTTACAATCTCTTCCTACCATTTTGGGTTAAGGTCTTTTAATTAATCTAGACATGCTATATTTTAATTATGTATTGTTTTTAAAATAAACATGACTAAACTATTTATGTAAATAGAATGATGAATCAATGTCGCGAAATTGGAACATCTAATGAGGGCAATTATTTTAAGGGACTATATTAATAGAGAAGGCAAAGGAATTAAATTAAAAACAATAATATAATATTTATATCTTACTAATTTAACTTCTTATAATATAAATGCGAATGTTTGGATGGATGTTTGTTTGAAGGTATCACCAATGGCTGAACGGATCTGGGTCAAATTTGACATACATATAGAACATAATCTGGAAGAACACATAGGCTAATTAAGTTTTTTTTTTAATTCAACAACTATATACTATAAATGAGGAAGTTTGGATGGATCGATTGATGTTTGCAATTATGACGAAAACTGGATGAAATTTGACACACTGATATGTAGAGTTAAAAGCACTGGGATAGACATGACTACTTACGAAGATTTTTTTTTAATTCCGTGCGAACTATGTCGCGGAAAAAGGCAAGTTTTATATAGTAAGTAGCTCTAGCCCGCGAACGTCCGCACGAAATTTAAAAAAAACTAAATGAATAGCCTATGTGTTCTTCCAGACTATGTTCTATATGTATGCCAAATTCTATCGAGATCTATGCAGCCGTTCTGGAGATACCTTCTAATAATGATCCATTTATCTAAACAATCACATTTATAATATTAGTAAGACTTATTTATTTAGTTTATTTATGGAATTTGTCGTATCTTTGTTAACATAATTAATGCATTCATTTGAAATGAGATATTGTTCAAATTATCTTCACGCGTTTCCATGTTACCGTAAAATAGTCAACATAGTTTGTAACCTTACTAGCTTTTAGGTTTAGTTGGTAATGATTACGCGACTTGAATTTCAAATTACGATTTTATTAAGACGCGATTATAGAATCATAGTCTGACCTCTACGTCTCCACCATACTAATATTATAAATGCGAATGTTTTTTTTTATAACAGAAGGGGGCAAACGAGCAGCGGGAACACCGAGGTGTTCAACGACGCCCATGGACATCAGCAATACCAGAGGAACCGCAAATGCGTTGCAGGCCCTTGAGATAGTGATAAGCTCGCTCGCTTTGAATGTATGGATGGATGAAGGGATGGATGTTTGTTAGAAGGTATTTCCAGAACGGCTCAATAGCTTTGGCATGGATGTAGAGCATAGCCTGGAAGTACACATAGGCTACTTATTAAGCGAATGTAGTCGCGGCGATAGCTAATTTTTATTAATTACTTAACTTACTGAAGACTGCCAAGTGAGATTTTAAACTGACGATATTTGTACTACGATAACATATATACCGCGGCTCTTGGACTCTATCTTTTTATAATGTGAATCATAATTATTGACTTAGTTTAGGTTAAGTTATTTTTAGGGTTCCGTACCTCATAGGAAAAAAACGATACCCTTATAGGATCACTTTGTCCGTCCGTCCGTCTGTCAAGGTCATTTTCCTCAAAAACGCGTGAAGGTATCAAGCTGGATTTTTTTTAATTATGACGTTAAATCTTACTGCTTAGTAATATTATAAATGCGAATGTTTAGATGGATGTATGTTTGAAGGTATCTCCAATGACTGAAAAGATCTCGATTAAATTTGGCATACATATAGAACATATTCTGGAAGAATACATTACTAATTTTGTTTTTTTTTTAATGCCTCGCGGACGGAGTAGCGGACGACAGCTAATATTTCAGTCAGATTAATCATCTGTTAAACGTTTGGAACACCAGGATAACATAACATACGGAAGATTCATATTTAACATCAACCACACAAACTTCTGTTTTAAAACTGCTAAAAACAAATGAATATAAAATCGACGAGATTTGAACAAGATTGAAAAATGTAACTTGATTTTTAAATTATTTATTTTTTATATTTTTAATTATTCTATCTTACTAATATTATAAATGCGAACGTTTAGATGGATATTTGTTTGTAGGTATCTCCATAATAGATGTAGAACATAGTCTGGAAGAACACATAGGCTACTAGTTAAGTTTTAATTCCGCCCACCGAGTCACGGGCGACAACTAGTATTTTATAAAACAAAAAATATTTAGTTAAGTAGGTTTAAAATAAGAAATACATATTTAACTACTAAAAAAATAACCTACTGTTTAGTTTAAACAGTAATGTAAAAGTTTATAATAAAAACATACTAAAGTTTTAATAAACTTATAAGAAAATTCCGCGAATAAAGTCAAACTTGTAAACTTACCAGAAATTCCCTTGTGAAGGGACACAAAGAACAGATATAAAATGATCCAACTCATTATCACAATCAAATAAACAGTACAAAATAATTATCACAAACAATAGGTACTATCTCTTCATATTGTATTTCACTTTCTTTAATTATTTAATATAAAAATCCATTTATCCTTTTATAATAAGAGCGCGCATTTGACAGGAGCGACGCATGCGCGTGCGCAACTCGATCTATTTTAGTCTCAATCTCGATGCAGCCGTCTCTTTCTTGTCAAAGATTAAACACACACAATAGTACATTAAGTAAAATATACACGGTAATACACGAGTGTTGATAGCTCAAGAGTTAAGCACTTGATTACTGATCTGCGCAGGTCCTGGGTTGGAATTTACTTGTCCCAGTATGTTTGTCGAATTTCGATTGCAAAGCATGGTACATCAAATCAGTACTTTTATGTGCACTAGCTATCGCGACTCCGTCCGTGAGGAATTAAAAAAAATTAATGAGTAGCGTATATGTTCTTCCAGACGATGTTCTACATCTGTGCTAAATTTCATCAAGATCCGTTGAGCCGTTCCGGAGATACCTTTAAAGAATCATCCATCCATACATTTACACATTCTCACTTATGATATTAGTAAGATTCATCTCTACACAGTGCAGTTACAATATTTTGTTATTAATTCAAATTATTCTATTCTCTAATACTGGGTACGTCCTACAAAATCATTTTGACTATCTGACCCAAAGATCCTACCTACACATCACCCACTGTAAAACGTTAAAATGTTTTACGATATATCTACTAAAGAATGGCATAGAATAACAAAATTAATACTTATTTGCATGTTGTGTTTGCCATTTTATGACCTATATTTTATTCCATTTTGTAGTCTCTATAGACAATTGTTTACTCAAAATCATCGTTGAAAGATCCTTTTTCTAATGTCTTAGAGTGGTATTAATACTATAGTAATGTTACTTCTTACTTATCTAATATTATGAATGCGAAAGTTTAGATGGATGGAGGGAGGGATGAATCGGCGCAACGGGTTTTGATGCAATTTGGCACACATGTAGAGCATAGTCTGGAAGAACACATAGCCTACTTATTTTTTTTTATAGTTCATCGTGGACGTAGTAGCAAGCGACACCTAGTTGAAGGATAAATACTTGAAATAAATTAAGAGGGTATGTGTAGGTATAAAATTCAAATGGCCAGTCTACGTTACTAATCTAGGATTCTTCCTTCCACATATTTCCTTTGCAAAGCTCGCAGGATGTTTGAGGACATTACGCGATTTATTCTTATTAAAACTATGAAAATAACACAATTTAAGACGACACACTTTAACGAGAAAATATTTGCTTCTCTTCTATCGGTCAGCAATGAATATGGGTAAAGCTTCAGGCAAAAGAATGTATTTTATAGTCAAACTAGCTGTCGCCCACGACTTTTCCGCGTGGTATTAAAAAACTTAATTAGTAGTCTGTGTGTTTTTCCAGACTATGTTTTACATCTATGCCAAATTTCAGCGAGTTCCATGCAATCGTTCTGAAGATACCTTCTAACAAAAATAGCCTTTGCGTTTATAATATTAGTAACTGTGTTTACATCTAGATAAATTTTATACGTTTGTTCTAAAAGCAATTTCAATATTTTAAACAATAACTCCTACTTATAAATCAGCTACATTTAGATATTCTTAGGATTTTTCGTGCTTAATCAAAACCTTAAATATGTACTTGGTTTTCAGTTTACTCTGCCAAGGATTTATCTTTTCCTTCTTATCGTATCTTTATTCCTTTTGTATTATTTGAGGTTATATCCCGGTAAGTAAGTTCAAGGTGAAGGTTTGTGATTTGGCAATATTGTTAAAACGAATTGGCATCGCCCCAAATAAAGTTATATTGTGATTTAATTCCATATCATTTTAACATCCGTAATATGTAATTTTATGTACTTTACATTACTAATATTATTAATGTAAATGTTTAGATGGATGGATGTTTGTTAGAAGGTTTCCAAACCATTTCCTTAAAGGCCGGCAACGCATCTGCAGTTTCTCTGGCGTTGCAAATGTCCATGTGTGTCGTTGATCACCTCGTTGTTCCCGCCGCGCTTTTGCCACATTCTCTTTTAAAAAAAGGTATCTCTAAAACGGCTAAATGCATCTCAATGAAATTTGCCGTGAGAGTATAGTCTGGTAGAACACATAGGCTACTTATTTAGTTATTTTACGGACGGAGTCTCGGGTGACAGCTAAATAATACTGTCATCTCTTTCTTTCTCTTCGACAAAATCAAGACAGTCAACAATAATTAGTCGAAGTTATAATAAAATATATTAACGTATATTTTCGCGTGTAGTTTGAGGTTTTTACACGAATATACCGAACAATTGGTTCATTGTGTCAAGGTCGGGTTGGATGTACATATGTATAAACAATCAATTTATAAATGAGGTCAATTTACTGAGAACTAACAGGATACTTTCATATCTTGTGGAGATATTTTGGAATGTAATGTAGGTCATTTGAGCATTAGTGGCTCAAGGGTTAAGCAGTTGACTTGTAACTGCAGGTCCTGGGTTCATCCATTTAAACACGCATCTATATATATTAAAGAAAGTCGTGTATGTTACACTGTTTATAACTCAAGAACGGCTTTACTGATATGGCTGAAAATTGGTGAGAAGGTAGCTTAGAGCCAGGAGACGGACATAGGATACTATTTATTCATTTTTTTATTTATGCCTTGAATAGCTGCTTTTTATTTAACTTACTAATATTATAAATGCGAATGTTTAGATGGATGTGATATGGATGGATGGGTGGGCTACACTTATTAAGTTTTTTTATATATCCACGCGGACGGAGTCGCGGGCTACAGCTAGTTTACAATATTAGTAAGATAGTAAGAATAGCTGAGCCCAACTTTGCAGTGTTAAAGTTAAAAGATTAATCGTTGGTTTCTGAGACCTAAATTCTCATTCTTTATAAAACGTACTAGTCGTCGCCTGCGACTCTGTGCGCGCAGAATTAAAAAAAACATAATTAGTAGCTTATGTGTTCTTCCAGACCATGTTCTATATGTATGCCAAATTTCAACGAGATCCGTTCAGCAGTTCTGGAGATATCTTCTAACAAACATCCATCCAAACATTCGCATTTATAATATTAGTAAGATTGTTATATCTTATGTCAAAGATAATAAGATGGCGATATGTTTTATAGAATTTGTTGTCAGAAACCGACGATAAGACAATGATTACCAAAGTTTTCTGGCTGTTAAGGAACACTGATTTAAATAAAAAAAATCAAATGTCCGAAGTTCGTTGTATAGCAGACATAATAAGAAGATTTTTATAACGATTTAAAGAAATTAAGTCCCTTCCAGGAATACTTGTCTTAGGTTTTGTTTTTAGATGTTGAAATACAATCTTGATGTTAAACTTCGACTCGACTTTGTATATTAACTTATATAAATAAAAAACAAAATGAACAAGCGGAACTTTTATGTGCACTAGTCCTTAAAATACTACGGTCAGTCACAGGACTAAAGGTCCCTACTCCCCCCTAAAGGTTCGTTCCCTAAGTAATACTATATTTAAGTTCGGATAAATGTTTAAGACAAGGAATAACATGATTACGGTGTATTTAGTATGCGTTTGGGCGTCTGTATGTTCGTATTTGCCGTCTGAATGCTAACGAGATAGAGTGGAATCACAAATAGCAAATTATGGCTTGATTTATCAAGGTCAAAATGACACACAAGTCGGTTAATTTAACATATATACTTTTATACTAAGTTCATATGAAGATTGTTTTATTATATTAAGCAATACTTATAATAAATATTATAAATGCGAATGTTTAGATGGGTGTTTGCCTGAAGGTATCTCCAGAACGGCTGAACGGATCTCAATTAAATGTTGCATACATGTAGAACATAATCCGGAAGAACGCATAGGCTAATAATTAAGACTTTTTAAATTCCGCGCGGACGGAATCACGGGCGACAGCTAACTATAAATAATCGTCAGTTTCCACTGTCCAAACATCTGTACAAAGCAAACATAACGCAAACCCTCTTATTATTACGGTATCAAGGCCCATTAATTAACACTATTAATTAACGGACAACAATTTATTAATACCTAGTGGTCGCCCGCGACTCCGTCCACGAGGAATTAAAACTTAATAAGTCGCCTATGTGTTCTTCCAGACTATGTTCTACATCTGTGCCAAATTTCGCCGTCGACCCACGTTGAGTTACTACACATACCTTCCAACAAACATCCATCCATACATCCAAACATTCGCATTTATAATATTAGTAAGATAATTTCATGTAATAAACTGAATATTCTCTCGCGCTATTTTGAAATGTCTTTAAATTTCATCTAGATCCGTTTTTGGATTAAAATAGTAATATTCATACATACAAACATTCGCATTTATATTGCCCATATTACTAATGACAGTGGAATTCTACTGTAAGTATTCAGTGAGTCTCATAAACAAATAGTTACACGGACATTTGGGACGTATTAGCGGCAACACGTAAATCTCTGAATGGACAATATCTTACGTAACTTATTACCTTATTCTAACGCGTTTGCCTTGAGTGTTGCGAAAATATTTGACATGTATTGTGTTTAGGTTACTAGGCAATGAAACGACCTAGTGGGCGAAAGGTTGTGTAGCTTTATAAACGTTTCTTTTCTAATAAACTTTATGTTAGTTACCTTAGTACAAATGAAAATCCAGGTTTAAACACATTTGGATTGTTTTCACTATAGTTAAAACTGAATTTCACACATTATTTACTTTTAGAATTGAAAACAAAGTAAATAAGTAAGGTATATATTCTTCTAGACTATGTTTTACATATATATGTCAAATTTCATAGAACCATTGAGTTGTATTCGAGATACCTTCAAACAAACATCCATCCATTTAAACATTCGCATTTATAATATTAGTAAATAAAATTTGGTATTATTTTTTAGGTACATCCTGTTATATATTTTTTATATGTATTCATTCTTATATATTACTAATGTGTATATAAGAGGAAGTTTGAAAGTAGGGCCAGAGATCGAGAAATTGAGGAGTAAAAGGAGCGTGGTTTGGACATGTTATGCGGAGGGATGATGATGATATAAGCAAAAAAGTAATGAGATTGCATGTGGATGGCTACAAGGGTAGAG